TGTCTGACATGAATGAGAGGTGCAAGAAATTAACAAGAACACGTGCAACTCAGGCTTCTTGATGCACAAGATCTCTGCCTCTTGGCGTTCACAGGTGCGAGGCCCGTGCCCGGTCTCAATGCTTTTCAGGACGACATGTGATGAGATGCATAGCTAGGAGAAGATTTCAATCTCTTAATTGATTTATATGGTCAACTTGAAGTGGCATCCTTAGTTGTTACTGTTGGACCCCCTTCAGGCGGTCCAACATCCCTTGTCATGGCCGTTCGTGTGGAACCATGAGGAACCTCACAGCCAATGGTTGACACTGCCCTTATGACGCTGCCCTGAGATGTGTTTCTCCCCGCGTTGGATCTGTTCCAAGACTCGTCGAAAAGGCGGCCGTTCGTGCCGAGTTCGTCGCGCACCAGTCAGCCGAGTGCACGTGGCCCACCGAGGTGAAGGCGGTGTCTTCTCACAGCTATGAGGGCAAGCGGCATGTGGGCGAGATCCAGGTGTGACATTTAAGCCATTCCATTTCTGAGCTTGTGCCAAAGCGGCTGTGGGTGGCCACCCACACACACACACGAAACTAACCTCTGCGACGAGACTCGTCGTCGGCCTTCTTCCAGCCTTTTAGGAGGGATATAGTGGGGTGTGTCTATATATATATATTGTGCGCTTTCAGAAGAGCTTGTGTGTTTGCAAAAGAAGTTGTGAAAAGAAGAATAGAAAAGTTATGGCTCTCTGTGGGATCCAACCGACAGGCTTTCTGAAACAACCAAGGTATACAAGTAATAGTGGTCCCAAATAGATAGTGGCACGGTTTCCAATACATCTTTAGTGGGGATTTGCTATGGCTATGATCTACTTTTCTTTTTGCTTGTCGGTCTATCTACATCATGGAACGCCCAGTTGCACCGAAAAGGGGGGTGTTTCCGAAGCACTCACGACTCACGGCTTCGATCGGATTCATCGGGCACGGCTTGCACGGAAGCACGACTCGGGCAGTTGAAGCAGTTGGTTCTTTTCTTTGCACCCTCCTTGTCCACTGGATTTGTCTATCCATGTCTAATTACCCGTGTTCGACTCTGTGTTCCAAAAAGGCCGATCTTACACGTCATTTGAGCCTGCTTTGGGACGAAGGTCGAGTGCATTATGGAGGGCGATGGCCTTCGAAAGCTCTCGAGCGCCGCACCTTGGATTTGAAGTGATCGGTCTTCCCATGTCTTCCCGATTCACATGACGGAGGCAGAGGGTCAACATCTGAGATTTATGTACGACCCCAAGACCCTTCAACTTATGCCTTCAGACCCTTCCACCCAAGAAACGAATGACATTGGCCACAGGTTTCTAGCCTTGGACAGGCTACGGGACCCCTTAGACTGAGACATACAGTGATTATATGACCTTTTAGGCGCCTGGTCGGTTCCTCCACGCGAATCTCTCAGGTCCAAGGCACTCACACGGAGCGGTCGGGAGTCGGAGTGGCGGCGGAGTGGCGGCGGAGTCCGCAAGTACGGGTGTCTCGGGCGTCTCGGGTGTCTCCGTGTGCCTCTTGAGCTGTTCAATCGATCAAGAAGCATCAAGAAACATGAAGGCATGCAAAGCAGGTGTTTTTTTCTTTTTTCCTCTGTGCCCCCCACTCTGTTCGAAAGGATTTGTGCAGATATGTGCAGATAGTAATTACTTTCAAATTACATCATTTGGTGTGCTATGTTAGAGACTGTTTGAGTAGAGTCGAGGCCTTAATCTACAGTACATTTTCGCAGATAGGCGACACATCGACATGGTTCGGCGGCCTGTGCTCTGCCCGCAGGAGCATCGGCTGTCCCAAGAGCCAGAACCCGACACCCAGGCTGGAGAAGGGCGAAGATGGTTGTGAGCACATCTGGGATACTGGAGACACCCGATCGACAGTGAACAGGAAGAGATACCCGATCTAGGTCTGGAGAACGGCTTGGAGTTCTATAGAAAAGAAGTACGGCTGGAGCGGCGAAAGCTCCAAAATGAAACACACAACACCGCATGAAACCACCAGCCGCAAGGCTTGTCATCTTCCGCATGCAACATTTTCATGAGCTAGGGCTGAGTTTGGCATCCCTTTTTCCGCCACCGGCCCGGCTGATGGAACAAACTCCACATGGTAAGAACGAGGGGACCTACACATCTCACCACTGGGAAGCCTGCACATCATGTTTCATGACCGGTCGAAAGATGATGGCATCCCAATCTCCGCACTGGGTCGATCTGCGTCGTCAGGACTATCACCGGGTGATTTTAAGCTTCCCTTTGGAGCTCGGTGACGAGAACGTTTTCCTTGACCAGCTTGGGCTGCCTGTGCCCAAGACGCTTGGTGACACGTCAATGCTTGTGTCCCCTTGCGGATGGGCCAAGGCTAAAAAACAGTAAAAGACAAGGACGAGTCAACATGATCTTCGAGACCAAACCATGGGATTGTCACGGTGGTGAATTCAGGTATGCCCTTGGGCCTGAGAAGACAGAGGTTGGGCAATGATGGGCAATGTTTGTTTTATATTAATTAATTAATCAATTATATATATATATACAGTATATATATATACCATAGTTATTTAGAATCCGGAAATTTGAGTATCCGTTGCCAAATGCATCCTGGTCCTTATGAGATCACCGCGAAAGCGGTCCTTTGGTGGCCCTACACTCGTCTTCCTGTCTTTTTACAATAGACCTGGCCAAGCAGGGAATTGTCCTATACCTATACATGTAGTCCAACTGACCAAGCACGCCATTCTTTGGTTTTGGAGGGCATAGCTCGCCTCTGCCTCCGGAATGGCCATCGAGCTGAGGTACCGCAATGCGATTGCGCACGGGAATGAGTACACCGTGGATCATGTGGACGTGAAGACTCTTCTGCAGAAGGCCCGACAACCCCAGGGTTGCGTGGGCTCAGGCGGCCACAAAAAGGGATCCTTCAGAAAGGCTCGGGGCGAGAAGGGCTCGGGGACGGCGCTGCGGAGAAGGTCTCACTGGCGCCAGCGCGCAGCGGGCGAAACGGTCGCACTGCACCGCCAGGGTGGCTCCTGGTTTTGGTACCGCGGCGGGTTGGCGGTCCCGGGCTGTCCGGAGTGGGGCGTGCGTTGGCTGCTCTATGAGCCGCTCAGCTGAAAGAAGAGGGAAGGGGATTAAACAGCCAAGCGAGGCAGAAAAGCCGGGCTCCGCTTCTAAAAGTAGTGGAACATTTTGGGAACCTCATGGCACATCTTTGGGAACCGGTTTCTATCTATTTTTTTCCCCAATAGCCATGCTATGGGGTCTTGCAAAACTAATAGGCGGACAGGCGCCGTCGGGTCACCGTCAGAGCTGGTGGGCGGATGGTGTCCCGGTCATGTTTTGATGGCGTCCGGGTCATGTGATGCTGGTGTCCCCGTGTCCCGATCATGTTTTGATTGTGACCCAATCATGTTGTGATGGTGTCCCGGTCCTGTTTTGATGGTGTCCCGGTCATGTTTTGATGGGGTCCCGGTCATGTTGTGATGGTGTCCTGGTCATGTTTTGAAGGTGTCCCGGTCATGTTGTGATGGTGTCCCGGTCATGTTGTGGTGGTGTCCCGGGCATGTTTTGATGGTGTCCCGGTCGTGTTGTGACGGTGTCCCGGTCATGTTTTGATGGTGTC